AGGATGAGGAGGAGGAGAGGAGGAGTTGGAGGTGGAGGAGGAGGATTTGGAGGTGGAGGTGGTGGAGGAGGAGGAGGAGGTGGTGGTGGTGGAGGAGGAGGAGGAAGAGGAGGAGTTGGAGGGGGAGGAGGTGGAGGAGGAGGAGGAGGAGGCGGAGGAGGAGGAGGAGGCAGGAGGGATGAGGAGGAGGAACGTGGCGGGCTACGCCTTCCTCCTGGGGGACTACTTGGGAGGGCGAGGGGGGCGCCGCAGGCCTCTGGGCTGACCTGGGGCGCCCTCTGGCCGGGGGCCGCGGGCCTCCACGGCGCCTCGCCCGCCGCCCTGGCGGCAGCCGCGCTGCAGCAGGTTCGGGGCCGGCGGGGCGACGACGACGACGACGACGACGACGACGACGACGACGGCGGCGGCGGCGACGACGACGACGACGACACGAGGACTGGCGGCCGCGCGGCAGCAGGCTCGGGGCAGGGGGGGGGCTTCGGCAGCAGATCACGGGAGCCGAAACGGTGACCGCGCGTGCTCCCTCCCAGTTCGGCAGATCCTGAGCCCAGGATGCACGTGCTCCGTCTGCTGGCTCGGCAGCGCGCGATGTTTCAAGGCAGCGTGCTCTAGACCTCCCCCTTGTGACACCCCCTCCCCGGCGTGGCCGCACGTGCTCCGCCCGCTGGTGTGGCAGCGCGTGCCGCCTCGTTTCGAGACGCAGTGATACGGAGCACCCGAATCCCGTCCGATGCTCATTAGGAGCTCTTGTTCGCCGCTGACTTCCTCCTCGTAAAGGCCGTGCCGCCTCGTCAACAGATAAGACGTCGCAAAAAACGCACGCGATGTTCGGTAGCAAACCATGGGAGCCTCGTGTGCCCTCGTAGTTCCGTCTACGGAGCACATTAGCGTGCGCTAGCGCGCCTGGTGGTCGGTGAGAAAGCGTCGCTGTATCGTCGGTCAGCGTCACATTAGAGTCGATTCTAGTCGATTGGCGTCGGTTAGCATCGATTCGCGAGAGCCAGCAGAGGCTCCCCGGCACAGGCACCCTCTGAGGAAGTGCGCGTAGAGAGGGGGTGCTGGCTTTGCTGTAAAACAAGCTGCCACCGAAGGGGTGGGGCAGGGATGGAGGGATTCTGCTGGACTCTGCTGGCCTGGTCAGCTTCCACATCGAACAAAGGATCTGGAGCCGACGGTAACGAGCGCTCACAATCCTCCAGGCCTACCCTGAGCGACATTGGGCGGCCTCCGAAAGTCGATCCTTACGCACAGGGCCCGTCTGTAGCTGATCACAGTTTTCTCTAACTTTGCGCACCCTCTTCCACCCTGGTCCCCTCGTAGGGGGGGTCATGGGCAGGCCCGGGAATGAGGGATGCATGGAGTGAGGGAGGATGAGGATCAGCGCGGGGCGAGCTGAGACAACGGCAGTTGCCCTTCAGGGGGGGGGCTTCCTCGCCATGGCTGGACGCAGCTCGGAAGACTGGTGCGTTTGGTCCACGGGGGGGTGGCTGGGGAACGATTTTGGGGTGCCATTGTCTCAATTCGTCCTGTTCCGAGAGGAGAAGGAGGCGGGAGGAGAAGGAGGAGGATGAGGGAGGAATGAGGAGGTTGGATGAGGGAGGAGAGAGGAGGGAGGAGGGAGGAGGAGGAGGAGGGAGGAGGAGGGATGGTGGAGGAGGAGGAGGGGAGAGGGAGGAGAGAGGAGGGATTGAAGGAGGAGGGAGGAGGGCGACGGCGAGGGCGAGGGCGAGGCGAGGGGCGAGGGCGAGGGCCAGAGGCCGAGGCCGAGGGCGAGGGCGAGGGCGAGGAGGAGGAGGAGGAGGAGGAGGAGGAGGAGGAGGAGAGGAGGAGGAGGAGACGAGGGAGACGAGGAGAACGAGGAGAACGAGGAGAACGAGGAGGAGGAGTGAGGAGGAGGAGGAGGAGGAGGAGGAGGAGGAGGAGGAGGATGGAGGAGGGATGATGAGGAGGAGGTGGAGGAGGTGGAGGAGGAGGAGGAGGAGGAGGAGGAGGAGGAGGAGGAGGAGGAGGAGGAGGAGGAGGAGGGAGGAGGAGAGGAGGAGGAGGAGGAGGAGGAGGAGGAGGAGGAGGAGGAGGAGATGGAGGAGGAGGGAGGAGGAGGGGAGGAGGAGGAGGAGGAGGAGGAGGAGGAGGAGGGGGGCGTGGGAGCTATCGTGCTCCTCCTCCTCCTCCTCCTCCTCCTTCGCCCTCGCCCTCGCCGTCCTCCCTTCTCCCTCCTCCTCCTCCTCCTCCTCCTCCTCCGCCTCCACCTTTTCCTCATCCTCCTCCTCCTCCTCCTTGCCCACCTCTCTCCTGAGGCCGCCGCCTCGCCCAGCTCCGCTGGCGCGGGCGCGGACGGCGCTACACAAGCGCCGGCTCGCGGGGAGGCGCCGTCGGTGCTGAAGCTGGCGTCATTGACCGCGGGGGGCACTCCGAAAGGGGGCGTGGAGAGGAGGAGAGCCCCTAGCGCGTTCCACTACTCGCAAAGTGCCTACTTGCAACCTCGATGTGATATATCGTCGTAAATCCCCTGCGGCGGACACAGGCCATCTGCGAGTAGTTTCGAATTTTACGAGTGGTGGAACGCGATTGTCCAGAAGGAGAGGAAGGTTTTACTTTTCTATCCCCTGGCGCGTAACGGTCGGTACCGGGGCCGCACTCTTACCCACATGTCGGCCAGTGATAACGATCGCACTCGGGGGGAAACGGCTGGACCCTCCCAAATGCTGGTGCTCGCGCGCGTACTACGGCGATCGCAGCGCACCCCCGCCCCTCGGTACCCCATCCAGCCCAAGCGTTACCGTCACCTGGCCCCCCCACAACCCCCACCTTCGCGGGTAACGACCGTTACCAGACATATTCAACATAAATCTCGGGAGGAGGCGGAGGAGGAGGAGGAGGAGGGGGAGGAAGAGCTCCTCGTTTGTTTCGGGGGTACGACATGCCCAAGGGTAGAGTTTGTCGGGCGTTTTTTCTGAGGTCTCGGCGGCTTCCAGCGGGGGGAATACTCTCTAGCAGCTGTGCCTCGCGGAGAGGCGTCTGGGGGTGCCCAGATCGTCCCGAACGGCCGCTGGAGGGCCGAGTTATGGCCCAGAAACCACCGGGAACGGGGAGGAGTTTTTCCCCTCTGCGAGCCAGCTGGCAGGACCAAGGTGCCACAGTCAGGCTTATGGTGGAGGCGGTGTCTGCGGCCTGGGGGATGGGGAGGAGGAGGAGGAGGAGGAGGAGGTAGGGGAAAGGGAGGAGGTGGGTGGGAGGAGATGGGTGGGATGACTCGAATTTTCGGTTTGTGCTCCCCCTCTTTGGCCCTTCTTGGGCCCCCTTCCTCTTCATTCCCCCACCTCCTCAGGCTCCTCCCCGTCCTCCTCGTCCGCCTCGCGCTCTTCCTGCTCCTCCCGATCCTCCTCGTGCCCCCCTCCCCCCTGCTCCCCCCCCCCCCTTTCGTCTGCCTCCGTGGCGGGCTCTGCCCAGGGGGCTCTCAGGGGGAGCCCGCGCGCCCGTGCGGCAGGCCGCGCGCCTCGCCCCCCCCACTGCCCGGCCCTGCTCGGCCCCCCCCCCCCCGCGCACTGGCCCGCGCGCCCCGTGCGCGCCCAGATGCCGCCGCCGCGCAAGAGGAGGCCGGCCGCGGGGGCAATTGGCGACACCCTGGCGGGCGTGGGCGCCATTGGCATTCGACTAGGCGTAAGAGTGACCTTTCGCCGGAGTGACCTTTGGTGCGGGCGCAGGTGAGTCCCCAGATGGCCGAACGCGAGGCAGTAGCAGCTGCTTGCGCGCCCAGGTTTGGTCCCCCCGCGGCCCCCGAAAAGTTGCGCACCAACGGTCACTCTTACCCAGGGTCAGTCCTGCGTGTAGCCGACATTGGCATGACGTGCCTCGTCGCGCGGGCGGACGCCGCCGTGCCAGCCGCGATCCTGGGGCAGGCCGTTGAGCTGATGTCGGAGGCCTGGAGGTTGGCACGACACCAAGACTGGCGGTGCACCTCCACTCGGGGAAGATGATCCCGCTCTCGGTGATGGTGGTCATATTTTGGATTTGCCTAGGTGGCCGAAAGATTACCACCAGCACCGGCGGGCGTGAGGAAAGGGCGATGACCGTCCTGCGGCAGGAAGGATTGTTTGTCGACTCCCCGTTTCTGTTTTCGATGCTCGGGGCATCCATGCAGATAGGATTCAGGGCGAGAACGGTCCTGTGGCAGGCATGCCGGCCAGCTTCCAGATGTGGTCAGTAGTTCGGTGTGGGCGCTGTCTCCCTCTCGCCTCCCCCCTCTCCCCTTCTCAGAAAAATCACCGAGCGCGTTCCACTACTCACAATGTGCCTACTCGCAAACGCCCGAAAAATAGTTTGTTGCCTCGACGTAATGTATCGTACATCCCCCCGCGGCGGATCCTCGCCATTTGCGAGTAGTGACTTTGCGAGTAGTGGAACGCGCTTGTCTAGAAAAGCCAGCACGATCGTCCTGCCCCCGGCGGACGCAGCCCCGTGCTTGGGTGTCGGCGTGCACGTCCAAGCCTTCAGTGATGGTGCAGAGGGCCCACGGCACGTGCCTGGGGCCGCCTCAGGACCCGCTGCGCTGGGGCTCCGACGTGGACAGGGCGGACACCATCTGCTGCTTCAACCGCCACTACGCCGAGTACAGGTCGGGCAGCGCCACGCGTCGAAGAAGAAACAAACGCCATAAACATAAATTATCCCAGAGCGACCCTACCTAGGAGTTGGAGCCCCGAGGAGAGCAATATTAGTGTGACTTTTAGTGCCAAGTAAAAGAAATGATAACTGTTACATGTGTCGGGCGGCGTTGGGCCGTACAGGATTGTAGTGCACGATGTTGCCACTTTTGAGGGTTAAAACTGAGGCCTCAGTTTTAACCCTCAAGCGGACCTGGTCACCGAAGGCCCCCGACCAGGAGCCCTGCCAAGGGTGGGGCCCCTTTGCGGCCTCCTGAGGTCACCGGCCGGGGGTTCCCACTGCTTGCGTCGGTGACCTTCTGGGGCCCCCTTGCGGCCTCCTGAGGTCACCGGCCGGGGGTTCCCTCTGCTGTTGCATCGCATTGTGTTGCATAGCATCTTTGCTGCCACAGTGCTCATGCTGTTCCGTAGCCATTTTGGCTCAAGTGGCCAAACTGGTGCTCATTCTTATTGACCGTGTGATTTCTCAATCTCGTGCGCGCACCCCGCGCGCGGCTGCAGCGCGGGCGCCGCGCTGCTTTGGGCCCGCAGGCGGGGCCGGGCCATGGTTGACCCGTCCGCCAGCGAGCTCTGGGGGTTGAACAACCTCCAGGACATCCAGAACTGGGTCGGTCTCCAGCCCACTGTGTGGGCGGCTTTGCAGTCCGAGCTCGGGGAGGTTGCGCAGATCCGCGAGGTCGTCCTCATTCCTCCTCATGCTTGGATCGCCGGCGTGGCGGCCGCCCGGGTGCAGGATGCCACCCCTGAAGGCGGGGACCCCCCACCGCCCCGTCCTCTCCGTGGCGTCGAGTTGGGGCATGCGCGGGGGTTTCGTCGCGTCTGCCGGCTGCGCCTCGGACTACCTGCCGACGAAGAAGGCGAGGGCTCCCCTTCTGGGGGCGGCGGCGGAGTGGCGGCGCCGGGGAACCCTCTTGGGCCCCCGGAGGTCGTCAATGCGAGCTCCATCAGGAAGGTCAAGATGTCGACCATCTTCGACCAGGCGGACGACTCCGAGATCGCCCCCTGGTCGGCCCAACGGACGCGAACGGTCATGGCGGCCTTCAAGGCGGCCAACGACGACGAGGACCCCGAGCCAGACGAGGACGTCACTGGGGACCAGCTGGCGGCCTTGGAGCATCGCATCCAGACGGGCGCGTGCCCCTGCCCCGACTTCGGGGTGTGGCGGCCGTACGGCCAGCGGTTCGCGCGCACCCTCAAGCTGGTCGTGCATCACATCACGCCGGCCGGCGACTACAGGCCTTACGAGGTGCCAGGGCCGCCGACGTTCGCGGAGTGGCTGCCTGCGTTCCGAGTTTTCTCGGTCGGCATGCGTGCGCTCGGGGCCGCCACGACCACGAGGCTCCAGCTGTACCAGAACAAGATCTCCAAGTTCAACAACACCTACGGCGAGGTCTGTTGGTGGTTGGTCGCGCTGGCGGATCAGCGGATGCGATCCGAGCGCATGGAGCGCATCAGGAGGCGCGCCGAGGAAGAGTACGCGGCTGCGCAGGTTTCGGGGGCGCCGCACGCCTTCGACCCGAAGATGCCGTGGGACTACTGCTTCAAGGCCGCCGCTGCCGACTCCGATTTCTGGGATGAGGAGCTGGGGCGCAAGGCGACGCTCTGGGTCACCCACCTCAGGACCAGGCAGCAGCTCACCGACGACGGCACTGGGCATCCCGGCCCTGGCGGAGGCCCCAGCGGAGGCCCAGGCGGAGGCTCGGGAGGAGGTGGAGGCGGCGGCACAGGCGGCAACGGCGGCGGCAAGCGCGGTGCGAAGCGCGCCTGGGGGAGCCAGGACCGCGCAGCCTCGGACTCCAGCCAGTTTGGAGGCAGCGGCCGCGGTCGCAGCGGAGGACGCGGCGGGGGCCGTGGCGCCGCGGGCGGCGGCAAAGGCAACGCGAAGCATCCGGACGGCAGGTGGCGTGGGGACGAGAGAGGCAAGCCGCTTTGCTGGGCGTGGAACCACAACGCCAATGGGTGCAGCGAGGTGTGCGCCAACGGCAGGGTGCACGCCTGCGAGTGGTGCAGGTCCCCAAAGCACAGATCCATCGAGTGCCGCCAGAAGCCTGACGGGTGGTCGCCGCCCCGTTGACTATCTCCCCAGGCAGGCGAGCGCGGCCGTCCAGAGTCGAGCGAACGGCCAGCGGACCCGCTGGGGAAGATGCGGAAGACAGAACTGCTCGACGAGGGCGGCGGCGCGTCGGTGCGTCAGTTGGGCACCCGCCTTCGGCAGATTTTCGGCTGCGCGGGCGATGCCTCGGCGCCCGCCGATGCAGGCGCCGCCCCGGGATCATCCGGCGCCGCGGAGTCGGTGCAACGCCCCCCCACACACTGGAGGCAAGGAGGAGGCACCAGGAGCAGGAGCCGCTTGCAGGAGAGAGCGAGGAGCGGCAGGCGTCGCTCTCCCTCCCTGGAGAGCCGCCGGAGGAGGAAGCACGGCGGAAGAGGGAACGGCTCCCCGCCGAGCCGTGGGCGTCCTGTCCTTGCTGACGCCTCCGCGGGCGAGGCTTCCCGGGTCAGGGATCGGACAAAGACGCAGCGATGCTTCCGCCCTCGGTCCGATCAGGGAGCGCGCGGCAGGGGCGGCAGGCAACGCTCCGCCTCACCAGAGGGCGCACCCGGCCAGGGTCACCGAGAGCACAGGCACGACCCGCTGCCGCACCGGGGGCGTTCGGTTCTTGCCGGCGCCTCTGGAGGCAGCCCTCCCCGAGTGGAGAAGCATGCGGACCAGTCGCGGGGCACCCGCCCTCGAGCCCGCTCGCGCTCAGCTGCCGGTCGGGCCGCGCGGATCGACGACCTCCGCGCGAAGCGCGACCGCTTGCAGGAGGTCATCCGCCAGCGGAAGGACCGGTTGCGCCTGGCCGGGGTGCGCCAGGAGGCCGAGGCGTCTGGGCGGGGTCGAGCCGCGCAAGACGCAGGCGGACGATCACCCCCAAAGGCACCAGCGGGCACGTCGCTTGCCAACCCGACGGCTGGCTCCCGGGCGGCGCGGCGGGCAGAAGAGAACGAGGCGTGCATCGGCGGGCTCCGGGCGCCGTGGAAGGCCGTCAAGAAGCTCCCGATGCTCGCGGAGACCGGTCGGAAGATCGGGGCCTTCCTCGACGAGTTCTTGGACCAGCATCCCGATTTCCTCGACCTCCCCGACGGCGGCGAGCGCGCTCAGGAGCTGGTCCGGGATCCGCGCCTTCGCGCGGCGCGGGAGGACTTGCGTCGCGCCCTCGGCGCGAAGGAGGCCAAGGCGCATAAGCGGACGCCCTGGAAGCGGGACATCGTCGAGGCGCACGTGGCTGCCTCGCAGGACCCGGAGGTGCACCTTGGAGATTGGCTTCGGGACGGCGCCCCCATCGGCGTGGCCAGACCGGTGCCGAGCTGCGGGATCTTTCCCCAACTCGGCCCGGCCGCGAAGGAGCGCACGCAGGCGCATGAGGTGCTATCGTTGCTGGAGGCGCACGGCAACTACAAGAGCTTCGAGGAGGCCAGGGTGCACGCGGAGCCCGAGATCGAGAGGATCATCAAGGAGGGTTTCGCGGTCAGGTTCAAGTCTTGGAAGCAGGTCGTCGGCACTTACGGCCCGGTTGCGGCGTCCAGGCTCGCTTGCATCGTCAAGGACCGGAAGGACGGCACGAAGAAGGCCAGGATCATCATCGACCTCCGCAGATCGGGCGTCAACAGGTGCGTGCAGGTCGACGAGAGGATTGTGCTTCCGCGCCCGAAGGACATCCTCAGCAATGCCATGCACCTTCTGCGCCACGCCGCGGAGGACGAGGAGGTCGAGGCGATGGCGTTGGATTTCAAGGACGCCTTTCACACGCTGCCAGTCCATGCAGACGAGCTCCCGTATGGCGTGGCGAAGGTCTTCGACGGCGAGTACGTGGTGTTTCGTACGGTGGTCTTCGGCGGCGAGGCGAGCCCGCTGCTCTGGGGCCGCGCGGCGGCGTACGTCATGCGCGGTGCGCAGTCGATCTTCGAGCCGGAGCATCTCCTGGGCGAGTGCTACGTCGACGACCCCCTGGTGCTCGCCGTCGGCACGGCCGAGACGCGGAGGCGGCGGTTCGCCAAGTTCCTCCTCTGGCCCATCCTTCTGGGACTGCGGCTTTCTTGGGCCAAGGTCTCGCGGGGGAGGCGGGTCGAGTGGTGCGGCGTGGAATACCGCCTCGTCTCGCGGTACGTCGTGCAGGCGGTGCTGGCGCAGGCTTTCGCGCAGGAGTTCAAGGCGGAGATCGAGCAAGCGACGAGGCGGCCGCTCATTACGCGGTCGGAGCTGCGGCGCATCGCGGGGAGGGCGTCGTGGGCGACAGGTCTGGCGCCGACGATGCGCTCTTTCATCGACAGCCTGTGGGCCACGCTGGCCGACCTCAATGCCGCGTCCAAGGGGGATTCGGGGATCCCCTGGATCGGCAGGGACCCCCAGCCAGCTGCGCAGACCTCGCGCATCATTGTCGCGTTGGCGTGGTTGCATGCCTTCCTCGAGGGCGTTGTCACGGGTGGTGATCCTGGTCGGGCGGTCGACGTCAGGGAGTGGTTCCGGCAGCCGTCCGTCGAGATCGTCTGCGATGCTTCCCCGTGGGGCTTGGGGGCGGTCCTATGGGTCGACGGGGCCGCTCGCGCTTACCTTTTCGACGAGGTCGGCCCGGCGGACGTCGAGGAGCTGGGGGTCGAGAAGGGTTCGTGCAAGGCCCAGGCGGTCCTGGAAGCGCTGGCCATTGCGGTCGCGGCGCGGACTTGGCTTCCCAGGTGGGCGCAGCACCGGACTGGCGTTCGAGTCAAGAGCGACTCCATGGCGGCGCTCGGGGCCCTTGGTAAGATGGCCAGTCCAACGCCCGCCATCAACAAGATCGCCAGGGAGATCGCCCTCGACGTGGCGCAGAGTCGGTACGGCATCGACGTGCTGGAGCACGTGCCGGGCGAGCTCAACGACGTCGCGGACGCACTGTCGAGGGCCTTCGAGCCGGGCGGGCGCTTCGCGCTCCCCGAGGTCTTGCGGCAGGCTGGGTGCACGCGGACTCCCGTGGCCGCGCGCGACGGGTCGTGGTGGCGCTCCATGGCCCTCACGCGGACGGTGCTGGACAAGGCTGCTGGCGGGCGACGGTGCCGCGACGAGCCACGCTCGGCGCCTTGAGCGGAGGCGCGCCGGAGGTCCCGCCAGGCGAGCTATCGGAGATGCCTCCCCGCCTGGGCGCGACAAGGGCGCAGGCTCGTTGGAGCGGGGCCTCCCGCGAGTGATCCGCGTCGTCAACGCTCCCGCCGACGCGCTGCACGAGGGGCCGAGGCGGGTCGACGGCGCGCAGGGGCGCCGCGGCCGCGAGGAGGAGGAGAGGAGTAGCGGCGGGGTACCGGATGCTCTCTTGGGCCCGGGACCCGCGCCAGCCAGGCGAAGGTGGGATGAGACGGCGGCAGCGGCGCCAGCCAAGCGTGCCTGCTTGGCAGGGGCGCTGCAGGTCATCGGATGTCCGCAGCGCTCCGCTGCCGCCGCCGCAGAGTTCAGGGAAGCCACCCTGGCGGTGACGACGAGGCCCGTGATGGACAGCTACACGAAGGCCCTCGTCTCGCTGGCCAGGGCGGGCGGCTTCGATTTGCTGCCGTTTACGCCAGAGAAGGCTTGCAGGATCGGCGGCGCGCTGCGTGCGGCCGGGTACAGGTCCACAGCGTGCTATCTGGAGAGGTATAAGCAGATGCACGTCGAGGAGGACTACGATTGGTCGGTCAGGCTGCACGGTGTGATGAGAGGGTGCCGACGTGCGTCGATCAGGGGCCTCGGGCCGCCGACGCACGCGGCGGTCTTCACCCTGGAGTCGTGGCTGGTGGCTGCCCATGTGAAGCGAGCGCACGCCCAGGGCGGTCCGACCGAGCCCGGTCGCTTCATCACTGTGGGCACTTGGTGGATGCTGCGGGAGATCGAGGTGGCCCTCCTCACAATCGAGCGCGTCCGCTTCCTGGAGGAGACGGACTCAGTTGCCGTGGGCCTGGGCGTCACGAAGAAGGATATCCAGGGCTGCGGATGCACCCGGGTGCACTCGTGCATCTGCCAGTGCAGGCCGGAGTGGCAAGCCATCTGCCCAGTGTGCGTCGTCCGAGCCCAGCTCCAGAAGCGACGGGCTGACCAGGCGGAGCCTTGCGACCCATTGTTCGCGGACGCCGCCGGCTACGCGGTCGTCAAGAGGGCCGCGGTCGCGACCATGCGCGCGCTGCTTGTGCCGGAGGGCGCTGGACAGGTGAACGGCCACTCCTTGCGGCGCATGGGCGCGCAGCTGCTCGCCGCGGCAGGCGTCGAGCAGTGGCTGGTCGAGTGGTTCGGCCGATGGGGCTCCGACGCCGTCAAGCGCTACGTCGAGGACGCGCGGTCGCGGGCCCCGCAGGCACGGTCTCTGGCGCTTCGGGCGGCCCGAAGCGATGCCAACGTGGAGCCGGGGCCTGCGACGATGGCCGCGGCCGGGGCGCGCGATGCCCCGCTGGCGCGCGAAGGGGAGGAGGAGCGCCAGGGCGGCGCAGCTGGCCCGATCGGCCTCGAGGAGTTGGTCGGGCGCCTCGTGGAGGAGAGGATGCGGGAGAGGGAGGAGAGGTTACGCCTCGTCTCCTACGCTCTCGGCAAGACACATGTCGCGAGGGCCCGCGCGTGCGAGTCGAGAGTGCCCCGCGAGCGGAGCTCGCTGTGCGGCTGGCATTTCGGAGGTCTCCCACAGTCGGCCCTCACCTTCCACGAGGGGCGCGCTGACTTGCATGACGCCTGCAGGAAGTGCGTCCGGCTCGCGGCCTCGCGTGGCTGGCCGGTGGACTGCGCTGCAGCCGGCGCCGGCGGCGAGCGTGGCGAAGGCAGCTCGTCCTCGCAGTCATCCGATTCCGGTTCTGGGTCGGACAGGCCGCCGTCGGACGATGCCGAGGCGGGTCGAGGCGAGACCGAGGACGAGGCTCCCGGTGCTCGTGCTTGACGTCTCGCCGTCCTGGCTCTCTTGGGCAGGGCGGGGGACAGTGTGCTTCATTTTGGGGCCGAGTTTTGGAACGTACGCTGGGTCGGGTCGCGGCCAGGGCGGGCGTGCCAGTCGCGAGCGACGCCGGCGCCCCGATCCAGGCGCACTGAGGAAAAGAGGAGCTTCGAGCTTCGACCTCTCTCACCCCACCCTCCGTCCTCTGTCTTCGGCGGGCGGGGGGGGTATCACATGTGCAACAAGTTATCGTGACTTTTAGTGCCAAGTAAAAGAAATGATAACTGTTACATGTGTCGGGCGGCGTTGGGCCGTACAGGATTGTAGTGCACGATGTTGCCACTTGCCACTTTTGAGGGTTAAAACTGAGGCCTCAGTTTTAACCCTCAAGCGGACCTGGTCACCGAAGGCCCCCGACCAGGAGCCCTGCCAAGGGTGGGGCCCCTTTGCGGCCTCCTGAGGTCACCGGCCGGGGGTTCCCACTGCTTGCGTCGGTGACCTTCTGGGGCCCCCTTGCGGCCTCCTGAGGTCACCGGCCGGGGGTTCCCTCTGCTGTTGCATCGCATTGTGTTGCATAGCGTCTTTGCTGCCACAGTGCTCATGCTGTTCCGTGGCCTTTGGCTCAGTGGCCAAACTGGTGCTCATTCTTATTGACCCCGCCCTCCCAGGCCCTTCGAATGCGTGGACGACCCCCACCTCTCCAGGTGTGGCCTTTTGGCCCACGTGGAGGCGCTCAGGCGTGCAGCACGGCGCGGTAACGCCGAGAGGGGTGAGTTGTGTGATGTTGTGAGGGGTGCGTTCACTTCCGAGGGGGCGGGCGTGCGGGCGTGCCAGTCGCGATCGACGCCGGCGCCCCGATCCAGGCGCACTGAGGAAAAGAGGAGCTTCGAGCTTCGACCTCTCTCACCCCACCCTCCGTCCTCTGTCTTCGGCGGGCGGGGGGGGTATCACATGTGCAACAAGTTATCAGTAACGGTAAACGCCGTCCTCCTCCTTCTCCTCATCGTCGCAGTTGTAGCAGTAGCGGTAGTAGTAGTAGTAGTACTAGTAGTAGTAGTAGTAGTAGTAGTAGTAGTAGTAGTAGTAGTAGTAGTAGTAGTAGTAATAGTAGTAGTAGTAGTAGTAGTAGTAGTAGTAGTAGTAGTAGTAGTAGTAGTAGTCTAGTAGTAGTAGTAGTAGTAGTAGTAGTAGTAGTAGTAGTAGTAGTAGTAAGTAGTAGTAGTAGTAGTAGTAGTAGTAGTAGTAGTAGTAGTAGTAGTAGTAGTAGTAGTAGTAGTAGTAGTAGTAGTAGTAGTAGTAGGTAGTAGTAGTAGTAGTAGTAGTAGTAGTAGTAGTAGTAGTAGTAGTAGTAGTAGTAGTAGTAGTAGTAGTAGTAGTAGTAGTAGTAGTAGTAGTAGTAGTAGTAGTAGTAGTAGTAGTAGTAGTAGTAGTAGTAGTAGTAGTAGTAGTAGTAGTAGTAGTAGTAGTAGTAGTAGTAGTAGTAGTAGTAGTAGTAGTAGTAGTAGTAGTAGTAGTAGTAGTAGTAGTAGTAGTAGTAGTAGTAGTAGTAGTAGGAGTAGTAGTAGTAGTAGTAGTAGTAGCAGTAGCAGTAGTAGTAGTAGTAGTAGTAGTAGTAGTAGTAGTAGTAGTAGTAGTGATCGTACAGCTTAATACCTACATCTACATCTAGACCTGCATCCACATCTACACCTGCAGCTACATCTACATGTACACATGCATATACATCTACATCTACAACTACACTCACATCTACATCTACATCTACACCTACGTCTACACCTACATGTACATCTACACCTACATCCACATCTGCACCTACATCTAAATCTACATCTGCACTTTCGCATTGTTTTTGCTTTTGCTTTACGTTGCCTTTGCTATTGCTCTTGCCTTTGCTTTTGCCTTTGCCTTTGCTTTTGCTTGTGCTGTTGCAGTTTATGCTATGCTGCGCTGTTGCTGTTTATGCTATGTTGCGCTGTTGCTGTTTATGCTATGCTATGCTATGCTGCGCTATGCTAATGCTATGCTATGCTATGCTATGCTATGCTATGCTGCGCTATGCTGCGCTATGCTATGCTATGCTATGCCATGCTGCGCTATATCATACTATACTATACTATACTAATGCTATGCTATGCTATACTGCGCTGTGCTATGCTAAGCTAAGCGATGCTGTGCTATGCTATGCTATGCTAGGCTCCCCTATGCTATGCTGCGCTATGCTATGCTATGCCATGCTATGCTATGCTATGCTACGCTATGCTACGCTATGCTATGCTATGCTAATGCTGCACTGCGATGAGCTAAGCTAAGCTGAGCCGAGTTAAGCTAAGGTGGGCTCAGCTAGGCAAGGCTAAGCTAAGCTAAGCTAGGCTAAGCTAAGCTAAACTAAGCTAAGCTAAGTTAGGCTGAGCTAGGATGAGATAAGCAAAGCTAAGCTAAGGGGACGTAGCTGGGGGAACCGCGGGGCGGATACTGGGGGAACCGCCCGGGGCGCTTTCCACTGCCCGGCCCCTTTAAGCCCAGAGAGTAAGAACCCTTCTAGGCAGAGCCTGGGTAGGGAATATTCGGCGCTCCGCGCGGATTTATTGGATCCGTGCTGGGCCCCCCTGGCAGGCTCCGCGCGCCAGGGAGGGGGGCCCATCGCAGATCAAAAAGAAATCCGCGCGGAGCGCCGAAATTTCATGATTATGGTGTTCTTGTTCTTCTAAAGCGGGTCCCCCACTGGTGAGTGCAGCTGCGCCGGCGGATCGAGGGCAGAGGGGGAGGGGCGATCGAGGATCGGGGAGGCGTTGGGATGTTTTTGAGTGCTCTGGGGGGTCCTGGGAGGTCTCCTGTCCGTATCAAAGGGTGGCGACCCCCCAAGTGTTGACCCCCTTTGACTTACGTTGACAGGGGATATTTTCGGACGACCACGTTCCATGACGACCAGAGCACTGCGGAGACGACGGTGTTCTACGACAGTATTACTGGGCGCCCGCTATTCGAGGCCCCCCTCGGCCGCAGCTTCGCTGAGTTCTACCAGGAGAGCTATGACCACGGGTGGCCGAGCTTCCGGGATGCCGAGGTGCGACCCGACTTTGTCAGAGTGCTGGAGGACGGAGAGGTCGTGAGCGTGGACGGGACGCACCTGGGGCACAATCTCCCTGACGACAAGGGGAACCGATACTGCATCAACCTCATCTCGGTGGCCGGGTACCCGCAGGAACCCACGCTGGTGCCAACGCCGGCTCCGCCCACGCCGACGACGCCGACGCCCACGACGGCGATGCCGGAGCCCGCGGCAGACTCGGGCAACACTGCCGCGACAGCAGCGGCGCCGTGGCGAATGCTCTGCTTGGCCGCGCTTGGCTGGCTGGCCTTTTGATGGGTGAAGAGATCGCCATCACCCTCCTACGGTCAAGTCGGGCACGTCCCTCCACTGGAGGAAGATGATGCAAAAGTAGTCCATATATATATATATATAGTCGGGGGCATATTTCAAAGTTTTTTTTTTTTGTTTGTTTGTTTTGTTTTGTCGAGAATCCGCCTGTGGGAGGACATGCCCGACCTGATCCTACGGCATGTTCGCGCTGTGTCGACTCGCAGCGGTTCCGCCGGAAGCGCTCGTGGAGCGCCGCCAGCGGCCCAGAGTCGGCCAGTATGTACACATATATATATATATATATATATTTATGGAGCGATCTGGCTATCCGAACAAGCCGCCGATCGCTCAAGGTGGAACGATCCACGTGGTGTCAGAATGGGGGAACTAAGAATGACATAGACATTAAAACTCGGGGGTCCGCGCGGATTTCTCGCATCCGCGCGGTCCGGCGGCGCCTCTGGCGCCGCCCCTGGCGCGCTCCGCGCGCCAGGGAGGGGGTCCAGCGCGGATCCGAGAGATCCGCGCGGACCTCCGAGTCTTTATGTTTATGTCATTCTTCGTTCCCCTATTCTGACACCACGTGGATCGTTCCACCTTGAGCGATCGGCGGCTTGTTCGGATAGCCAGCGCGCAGGTCATCACGGCACAAGCCCGCCGTGCTCGTCCCAGGACTGGCCCCAGCCTCGGCACTGTGTCTCCCACGCTGCGGCAGCCAGTGCGTCGTTTTTCGTTGCTGTTCTTTTTCCCAGCTCGCCTGCGCTGGGTGCTCGTTCTGAGTAGAGCACTGCCTGCTCTCTTCACTCCTCCTCTCCCTTGGGCGGCAGCGATCTGCGAAACTGTCGCCACTTTCGAGGGCTGCTGGGAGGTCTAGCGGAGTGACGTCTTGCCCAGATTCAAATGAGACCTCGCCATCCCTGTGAGGCTGCGATCTGCGAAACTGTCGCCACGCTCGAGGGCTGCTGGGGGGTCCAGCGGAGCGCCGTCCTACCCAGATTCAAATTAGACCTCGCCATCCCTGGGGGGCTGCGATCTACGAACCTGTCGCCAGTTTTGAGGGTTGCTGGGGGGTCCAGCGGAGTGACGTCCTGCCCATATTCAAATGAGACCTCGCCATCCCTGTGAGGCTGCGGTTTGCGAAACTGTTGCCACGTTCCAGGGCTGCTGGGGGGTCCAGCGGAGCGCCGTCCTACCCAGATTCAAATGAGACCTCGCCATTCCTGGAGGGCTGCGATCTGCAAAACTATCGCCAATTTCGAGGGCTGCTGGGGGGTCCAGCGGAGCGCCGTCCTACCCAGATTCAAATTTGACCTCGCCATCCCTTGGGGGCTGCGATCTGCGAAACTGTCGCCACGTTCGAGGGCTGCGTGGGGGGCCCAGCGGAGTGGGGTCCTACCCAGACTCAGATGAGACCTCGCCATCCCTGTGAGGCTGCGATCTGCGAAACTGTCGCACGTTCCAGGGCTGCTGGGGGTCCAGCGGAGCCTACCCAGATTCAAATTAGACCTCGCCATTCCTGGAGGGCTGCGATCTGCAAAACTATCGCCAATTTCGAGGGCTGCTGGGGGGTCCAGCGGAGTGACGTCCTACCCATATTCAAATGAGACCTCGCCATCCCTGGGGGGCTGCGATCTGCGAAACTGTCGCCACGTTCGAGGGCTGCGTGGGGGGCCCAGCGGAGTGGGGTCCTACCCAGACTCAGATGAGACCTCGCCATTCCTGGGGGGCTGCGATCTGCAAAACTTTTGCCACTTTTGAGGGTTGCTGAGGGGTCCAGCGGAGTCACGTCCTACCCAGACTCAAATGAGACCTCACCATCTCTGGGGCGGGGGGGGGGGTGGGGGCTGGCGGATCTGCGAAATCTGTAACCACGTCGAGGGCCTCTGGGGGGGCCCCAGCGAGAGTGGGTCCTACCCAAGACTCCAAATATAAGACCTCCGCCAATTCCCGGCGGGGCTGCGATCTGCAACACTTTGTCACTTTCGCTCGTTGCTGGACGGGGTCCACGCGGGGAGGTCAAGTCAGTACAGTTGACGTCCTACCCAGACTCAAATGAGACCTCGCCGTCCATGAGGGGCTGCGATCTGCGAAACTGTCGCCTCGTTCGAGGGCTGCGTGGGGGGTCCAGCGGAGTGACATCCTGCCCATGTTGAAATTAGACCTCGCCATCCCTGGGGGGCTGCGATCTGCGAAACGGTCGCCAGTTTCGAGGGCTGCTGGGGGGTTTAGCGGAGTCACGTCTTACGCGGACGCGGACCACTTGGTGGCCTCGCCATCCCTGGGGGGCTGCGAAGCTGGCGGGCGAGCTAGGCCTCGCTTGCTTCCTGCACTAACTATGAGCAGGTTCAAATATTTTCTTTGCGAGCGCCACGGCGAGATGGCGCAGGTAGCGCTGCATCTTTAGCCCACTACCGACTAAAGCAACACTCTTCGGTCTCCTCCCGTCACTTTTGTCGTCGTCTTCTGCCCCTTCCCTCTTGCCACCTTCCTTCTGCTGCTGCCGCGCTGGCGGGTCGGCCCCTCGCGCGTCTTTCTCCAGCCCTTCGTTCCCGCCTTCATGTCCTCCTCAAGCCTGGGCCCTCGTTCCTCGTCCATCTGGTGTTGTCCTGTGAATCGTGCCACGTGCACGCATCCCTTGTAGCTTGCACAACATATAACGGCGCCTGCGCTGTCATTGCCCTGGCAAGTTTGGGGCCAAGCTGTTTTGTCACTTTGACGCTAATAGGTTGGGTACGTCGCATGGTAGTAGGTGTTTCTGGTTTTGTTTTTTTCCCAACCCTCCTGCGTTGGGTTCTCGTTTTGAATAGAGCAGTTGCGGTCGCGACTCCTCTCCTCTCTTTTCCCGCCCTTCCTCCTTTCCTCTTCCTTCCTGCTTCTTACCTCGCTCGTTCCTGCGTGCCGGTTTGTCTCCTACCTCACCATCGCTGGGGGGCTGCGATCTGCGAAACTGTCACCACTTTCGACGGCTGCTGGGGGGCCCAACGGAGTGGGGTCATACGCAGATTCAGATTTGACCTCGCCATCCCTGGGGGGCTGCGATCTGCGAAACTGTCACCACTTTCGAGGGCTGCTGGGGGGCCCAGCGGAGTGGGGTCATACGCAGCTCCAGATTAGACCTCGCCATCCCTGGGGGGCTGCGATCTGCGAAACTGTAACCACGTTCGAGGGCCTCTGGGGGGCCCAGCGGAGTGACATCGTGCCCATGTTGTAATTAGACCTCGCCATCCCTGGGGGGCTGCGATCTGCGAAACTGTCACCACTTTCGAGGGCTGCTGGGGAGCCCGGCGGAGTGGGGTCATACGCAGATCCGCATTCGACCTCGCCATCCTTGTGAGGCCGCGATCTGCGAAACTGTCGCCATTTTCGAGGGCTGCTGGGGGGGTAAGATTAGACCTCGCCGTCCCTGGGGGGCTGCGATCTGCGAAACTGTAACCACGTTCGAGGGCCTCTGGGGGGCCCAGCGGAGTGACATCGTGCCCATGTTGTAATTAGACCTCGCCATCCCTGGGGGGCTGCGATCTGCGAAACTGTCACCACTTTCGAGGGCTGCTGGGGAGCCCGGCGGAGTGGGGTCATACGCAGATCCGCATTCGACCTCGCCATCCTTGTGAGGCCGCGATCTGCGAAACTGTCGCCATTTTCGAGGGCTGCTGGGGGGGTAAGATTAGACCTCGCCGTCCCTGGGGGGCTGCGATCTGCGAAACTGTCACCACTTTCGAGGGCTGCTGGGGGCCCACCGGAGTGGGGTCATACACAGATTCAGATTTGACCTCGCCATCCCTGGGGGGCTGCGATCTGCGAAACTGCCACCACTTTCGAGGGCTGCTGGGGGGCCCAGCGGAGTGGTGTCATACGCAGATTCGGACTAGACCTCGCCATCCCTGGGGGGCTGCGATTTGCGAAACTGTCACCTCTTTCGAGGGCTGCTGTGGGGCCCAGCGGGGTGGGGTCACGCGCAGATTCAGATTAGACCTCGCCATCCCTGGGGGGCTGCGATCTGCGAAACTGGCACCAGTGTCGAGGGGTGCGGGGGGGGGGCAGCGGAATGGGGTCATACGCAGATTCAGATTCGACCTCGCCATCCCATGCGGGGCGGCGATCTGCGAAACTGTCACTACTTTCGAGGGCCTGACGTCATACGTAGATTCAGACTAAACCTCGCCATCCCTGGTGGGCTGCGATCTGCGGCGGGCCCAGCGGAGTGGGGTCATACGCAGATTCAGATTCGACCTCGCCATCACTTGGGGGCTGCGATTCGCGAAAGTGTCGCCACTTTCGAGGGCTGCTGGGGAGCCCAGCGGAGTGGGGTCATACGCAGATTCAGATTCGACCTCGCCATCCCTGGGGGCTGCGATCTGCGAAACTGTCACCACTTTCGAGGGCTGCTGGGGGGCCCAGCGGAGTGGGGTCATACGCAGATTCGGATTAGACCACGCCATCTCTGGGGGACTGCGATCTGCGAAACTGTCGCCAGTTTCGATGGCTGCTGGGGGGCCCAGCGGAGTGGGGTCATACGCAGATTCAGGTTACCCCCCATTCCATCCTTCTCCTGCCCCTCGTTCCTGTCCCCTTTATTCTTCGAGCCTGGGGCCTCAATCCTCGTTCTTTCGATCGTCGTCCTGTGAGTCGTGCAGCGCATGCGCATCCCATGTAGTTAGCGCAGCAGTTCACCGCGTCTACACTGTTGTAGTTCCTGCTAATGTTGGTTTACTCCTCTTGTCACTTGATGCACATGGGTTGGGTACGTCGCAGGGTAATTTTGTTTTACCTCTTGATGGCTTCGCTCGGTCCGCCGTTCCATACAATGTTATGTTTGGCATCGCCGAGGTGGTAACGACAAGATGGGTCATATAAGTACACGCGGGATCGTACCTCAATGAAGGATGCATGAGACGTTATGCGTCGATTCTGACCGCCTGCGAGAGTCAATCGCACAGATGCGTCCCGCTATACCGACACAAACATATTGACGACGTCTACGGCGAATCACAGCCGCTCTCTGTCTTGAACGTTGCCGAACGTTCGACGCCGTGGCCGGACGTTGTGACCACGGCTCGGCCGAGGTATCGGACTATCTGTTCCCCAGCCGTTGTGGAAATCCGTCGGGGTACACGTGTGTAGTCATAACAGGATTAGTAAGAACAGTAATCATCACAATAAGAATACGACTATTGCTAATAACAGTTAGAAAGTCAACACCAAGCATACTAATAACATGAAGAACTTTATTCGTATAATCATATGCAGCCGCTGGAGCCTTCGGCGGAGTTCACTGGTATGGGGCCGCGATCCTCGTGAGGGGTGTGCCGAAATGGGAACAGCCGCTGGGGCCTTCGGCGGAGCTCCCAGGTATGGGGCCGTGATCCTCGTGAGGGCTGTGCCGGAATTGGCGCAGCCGCTGGGGCCTTCGGCGAAGCTCCCAGGTATGGGGCCGCGATCCTCGTGAGGGGTGTGCCGAAATGGGAACAGCCGCTGAGGCCTTCGGTGCAGCTCCTGGATAGGGACCACGATCCTCCTGAGGGGTGTGCCGAAATGGGCGGGGCCGCTGGGGCCTTCGGCCGAGCTCCCTGGTATGGGGCCGCGGTCCTCGTGAGGGGTGTGCCGAAATAGGAACAACCGCTGGGGCCTTCGGCGGCGCTCCCAGGTATGGGGCCACGATCCTCCTGAGGGGTGTGCCGAAATGGGCGGGGCCGCTGGGGCCTTCGGCCGAGCTCCCTGGTATGGGGCCGCGGTCCTCGTGAGGGGTGTGCCGAAATAGGAACAACCGCTGGGGCCTTCGGCGGCGCTCCCAGGTATGGGGCCACGATCCTCCTGA